CCTGCCACATCCCACTGCCCCACCCTGGGGCGGTGCAATAACCCTCCCTTCTTCCCCAAGTCCGCCTCCTTGGATGCAAAAGCAAATGGAGACAGAGTGCGGTTGCTCTGAGCACTGCCAGCATCTCTCCCACCCAGGGGCGGATCAGGGACAAAGGACAGGAGGGTGGTGTGGCTCCCCAGAGCACCCGCACTCACCGTTGGAGTCCAGTGGGATGAGGTTGACGGCGTTGAGCACTTCCACGTGGAGTTTCTGCTCCGACGGGCGGTACAGAGCTTTGATCGTCACAGCCCCGTACTTCTCCGAGCTGGCGTCCAGCTGAGCGGTGGGATACAAGAACAAGGCTGCTGCCTTTTGGCACGCTTATGGAAGGGGTACCTGGGGTCTGGTGGAGGCTGAGCAGGCATTTTGGGGTACCAGAGAGGTGATGGGCATTGCCTGGGATGCAAAACCAGCCCCAACAGTGCCAAGACTGGGGGGAGGGGGAATCCCACGTTTCCACAGGCAGACTGTGCCCAGCCGCATCGTGGGTGGGGGGGGAGGGGGCTGGGGCCACCATCCTGACTCCTACCTGCTGCTGGATCCTGTTGCTGAAGTATTTCTGGATGAGTTTGCGGCTGGTGGCAGAGCAGAGGGCCAGGTGAGTCTCCAGCGACTGCGGGGAGGATGAGAAGTGAGTGTCAAGCATACGGATGAGTCCACAGCCTGGGGATGCTCTTCTTGGAGAGCACCCAAAGGAAACCCTTGGGGATCCCCCTCAGTTCCCAGCACCCCGTACCAGGAAGGCTTCAGTGTACAGGGTTTCCAGCGGCAGCCCACAGCCGTCGCCATGGAAGCACAGCTCCAGGCTCTGGGGAAAAGGAGGCTGTCAGTGGGCATCCAAACCCCCGTCCCTGCCAGGGACCCTCATCCCCCTGGTACCTTCAGGGCACAGTGTAGCTTCTTGTAGTGCTGGGCTGAGGGCACCTGCTGCCCCGCGGCTGCCGATAGCACGGCCAAGGTGTGCTGCCAGAGGAGAGCGAGGAGGCTGCGGGTGTGAGGGAGGAAGGCTGTGAGCGGGGGTCCAGGGGAGCAGGCTTGCTCCTTGGCCGAGGGGCTTTGCAAAGCTCCTCAGGGAACCACCTCATCCCACTGAGCTGAGCAACCAGCCCCATAGTGGGATGTCCCTGAGCCCCATGGGGCTTGGAACACTCCTGCCAAGGGATGGTGACACTGCTGGACTCTGCCATGTGTCCCCAGGGCCCCAGTCACCTTTTGAAGTTCTCTTGAACCAGATGCTCATTGAGATACTCCAGCTCCAACTCCAGGAACTTCATGAGTGGGATGACAGACTGCAGTGAGAGGAGAGGGGCATTGGGGAGGGCCATATCCAGAAGGCACAGAGCAGAGAGACGTAGAGTGCTGCTGGCCAGAGCTAGCATGGCAGGGCAGGGGATCTGGAGGGGTTCCCTCCTGCAGTGAGGACATGGGCAGGTTGTGCCTGGTCTCGTCCTGCTGCTGACACGGGCATCAAATCAATTGTTACGAAGGGCTGTGCCCTGTCACTGCTATACCCTGGGCTTGGGGACCTCCACCAAGCAGGCAATGGTTATTCACGACTGCCCAAAAAAGGTGGTCCAGGAGGGGCCAGGCCAGGTACTTACATCTTCGGGCTCTTGGGTGTCATTGGAAGATGAGAGTTCCTGGATGTGTCTGGCGATGCCCTTTTCCAGCTGCCAGGGAAAAATGCACAGAGAGATTTGGGCTTTGTCCTCTGCATCAGCCTCCTCATACCCAGGTCCACCTTGTGTCCATCCCAGGAGCACTGTGGGGTCCAGGCCTCCTCCCTGCTTTGAGCCAGGTGAGGAGCAAGGGGGTTAGTGACAGAGGGTCACCTTGGTGGCCAGGGCTTGCACCACACTCTGGACCTCATGGTCCAGGCAGGACACGGTGCTGTCGAGTTGGTTGTGCAGCGTGTGCTGGATCTGCTGCCGGTCGATGATGGCCCCTGTGCGCTGCTCCAGCTGTGCCCAGTCCAGCTGTGATGGCAACTTCAGGACCAGCAGCCGCAGCTGCTTGATATTGTTCACCACGATGCAGAGCTGGGGGAGGTGGGTCTGCTTCAGGATGTCCAGCACATCCTGGTGCATCCCCTGTTGGCTCCATCCCTATCCCCATGCCAATCCATCTTCATCCCCATCCTCATTCTCATCCCCATCCTCATTCTGCTGATCCTGCTTACCATTTCCCTCCTGATTTTCCAGGATTATGGCTATTGGGGACCTACTGAACCTGATAGAACCTATACCCAGGATGTCAGCTGGGTGCTCAGCAGCTCATCTTCCACTCTGCCCCCAAACCACAGCCAAATCCTGCCTCTTCCTGAGCAGTGGACCTTGCCCAGACACTAACCCTGTTGGCTGCTTCGCCCTCATTCTGCTCGCTTAGTGACAGAGCCTCAGCCCTCTCCTTGATGAGCCGGCAGTACATCAGGGCAATTTTGCACATGTCCTGCAGGATAGAGAAGATGACAATAAGACTGAGCTGGGCAGCACAGACACCACCACGGTGCCAGGGAAACCCACTGCATCATCAGGGGACACTGGCCCTGTTCATGGAGACATGTCTCCAAGAGCAGGACAGGAAACTCCAGCTGGCCAGCAGGGCCTGGTGTACAAACCTCCACCAGCTTCACCATGATCATGAATGCTTCCTCAGGGTCTGGCCAGTTGAGCTGCTGCCAGGTCTTTACTATCTGGGCGTAGCAGGTGGACAGGTCAACAGTGGACGTGCTGTGCTTGTTGTGCTCCCCAAAGGGCGTCAGCTGAGAGGACAGAGAAAGCAAACGAAACTTAGCTTGTATGGAAATAAGTCACCCCAGATTGGAGAGCTCTTTTGGGGTTTTCTGGCCCATCATCATCTCCCAATGTCATCACTCTGTTGCTTTGGAGAGAGATGTTGAGGGTGGCTGGAGCAGCTTGCGCTCCCTGCAGTGGGCTGGCCTCCGTCACACGCCAGCCCAGCACTGTTGGACCACACGAGTGACAGCCCGTGGCCCCACGGCTGCCTTCGCTCCCCTCTTCCTAAATGTCAGAAGTGAAGGGGATGCTCAAGCACAGCCCAAATGCAGCCTCCTCGGCTTGTTCAGGCTGCCAGAGAGCAGTGAGGGAAGGGGCACGGGCATGTGGTGTGAGGCCAGGGTGGGTTCAACTGGTCCAGGAGACCATATCCTTTGGTATGCGTTTGGGAGAGGAACCAGCTCACACCTACGTGGTGGTCTCAGTGCTGTGTGCCAGACACTGTGATAAGGATTGGAGGAAGCTGGAGCGTCCCCAAAGGACGGAGATGTTCTCTTCCCTGGGTTACCTGGTCCATCTGAACAGCTCTCTGGGTCCTCTCCAGTGCGATGGTGTAGGTCTTCTGCAGCCACTGGGGCACAGCTTCCTTCAACCACTGGTGGAAATTGCTCAGACCCAGAGGTCCATCCCTGTGGATGAAGGTACCAGCTTCTCCAACTGCACAGCGACTGCCCAGGGCCATCACCCCTCCTTGCTCTCACAAGAAACTGCCCTGAGGAGGACGCAGCAAGTAGCTCTGTGCTAAGGAGACACCTTCACTTGTTTGGAAGTTGAGGTATCCATCAACCCCACTCAGAGACAAGCCTGAAACCCTTCTGGTGATCTTCCCATTGACACCAGACACCAACATCCTGGTCTGCCTTGCTTGTTATTAGCGAAGTCACTGAATGGGAAGGATTTGGAGTTCCTCTCAGTTAACTGCTCATTCCCTCACTTCAACATCCCCTCACCCTGTGAGCTGGATACCTCTTTGGGAGGAAGTCCTTCATCCTATACAGCTCCTGCAGGTTCATGTAGAGCTGGAAGAGACTCTCGGCCGTGGGTTTGGACATGCTGCTGTCGACCTCGCGCAGCTGCTCCTGGACGTGCTCCGCGACCTGGCAGTGACCAAGGGAAGTGGGCAGTTAGTGACAATCTGGCCGGAGAGCCTTGATCTGCTCTCTGGAGCCACAGCTCAGGGGATGCCTCTTCCTTTTGGGTGGCATTTCAGGGCATTCACTGGGTCAAGTAAGCAGATGATAGTCACTTTATGGGAACGCAGGGAAAGATGGAGAATTTCCCTGGCTTGCTGCCTTTCCAGGCTTGCAACAATTGGTTGTCACTTGAAAGGTGGCAAAAAACCTCAGCCTGGTTTTAGACCTTAGTCCCATGAGTGCTGAAGCAACCCGGGCTTGCTCACCAGGCTCTCCAGCTCCAGATAGGCAATGGAGAAGAGATTCAACTTCAAAGTGCTGCAAGAGAAAAACAGGGAGTCAGGACACCACTAGTAGCAGCCCAGCAAACCCTGCCAGGCCATGCCCTTGTCGTAAGAGTGAAGACACCACAGCTCTGAGAGGCAGAGTTAGGGCCACAGATGCTGCCTGTGGAGCCCAAGTGCCAAGGAATGAGGGATCAAAGTCCCCTGTTCTCCTGACCCCAGGGAAGGTGTGGATGAAGCTCTGAAGCCTACTTGATGAAGAATTTATTCCAGATTTTCTGGCACTGCTGGAGATCTTCTATCACCTCCAGGAGGAGTCTGGACAAGGCTTTGCCATTCTCCTCCATGCTCTGCAAAGGAAGGAGGGAATAGCTTGTTTTGGATGCTCAGTGATTTTGGGATGACCTTGGCTCCATTCTATCTGAGTTAATTCTATGATTTGTTTCTCACGGGGTAGCAATCTCCCATCAGATCCACATCAGGAGCACCAAGAAGTGGTCAGTAACATCCACTGTCACCCTGTGCTTGCACAGCTGGGCCGGGGACCACCTCCTGCTCTCCTGAACTTTGCACCAAGGCCTTAAGCTTCAGTGCACCTCGTCAGCTGCAGGTAACATGGCTCATGGGATTTTTAAGCTGGAAACCCAAACGCCTTGACTGTATCAGAAAACTATAGCAGCCTTGTCTGCGGCTTCCCACCCTCTCAGACATCCCAGCCCAAGCCTAGAAAATTGCTTCTTTTAATGTCAGAGAGGCAGAGATGGGAACTGACCTTCACCATGGGCTTGAGGTGCTGCTTCTTCATGTGAAACCATTCCGTAGTGCCTGACTGCAAGAGAGGAGTCCCGGTGTGATGGCAGGGAAACAGGAGGAGCAGAACCAGCTCTGTCACCCGTCTCACTCTCCCTGTCCCCTGGTGAGGTCAGAACCCAACTCCCTGTGGGGGAAACTGCAGGCTGGGACCACTAGGGTGAAGAGGGGCTGGTATTTCGCTCCTCCATGGTGGTCCATGTGGCTTGCTGAGGTGTGGGTTAGGCTGGGGATGGGTGGGAAGGGAGGGTTGCAGAGTCCCACCTCCCCAGGTCTGGGGACGATGAGATCCCTGGTCCCACTACCTTCAGCGCCGTGGAGACCATCTGGGGGAGGTCAGGGCTGAGCGTGCACAGCTCACGGAAAGCCTTCATTTTGCACATCTGGAGCAGGACCCTGCAAAGCGAGCACTTCGAGTGAACCCCTGCACCAGCCTGTGAGGAACAATCACCTTCTTCTCCAGAGATCCTACCCAAACAGACCTTCCCCTCCTAATGACACCCCCCATGAGGAGCCCAGGATGAGGGACAAGGCAGGACAAGTGTCACAGCAGCCTAGAAAGGGGCAGAAAGGGCTCACGTGCATTTTCACTCAAACTCACAAGCTTGTCCATCATGGTGGCCAAGCTATATACCCCCCTGGGCAGCTTGACTCACCGGAGCAGGGACTGGAGCCTCTCTGTGGACCTCGGGACAGAGAGGGGGAAAATGATGCGGTACCTCCGGAGGAGGGAGACCCCATAAGTCAGCAAGGACTGGAAGGACTCGGCCAGCACCGCGGTCAAGGATGGAAACACAGAGATGCCGACACGACCGTGGCACCATGACGAGGGAGCTGGTGGCTCCTGTTCCTTTCTAGCCTGCTCCAGGCATGCAAAACCCCCTGATGCCTTGGGTAACCTCTCCCAGGGAGGGGCTGGACTGAGTTTTGCACTTAAACTTCATTGATATGCAAGAAAAATTTGAAGTCTCAACAGGATGCTGGGATGCCCTGGGAAAAATGAGCAGGGAAAAGTAGGAATTGGGCCATATTTCAGTTTTGCAGGGATTTGTGATTAAGTTGATGGCAGTGATGGAGGGGGAGAGTGTCAGTGCAAAGGTGAAGAGCTTCTCCACAAAGAGGAGGAACAAATCTCCCAGGGAAAGGGGCTCCCTTGACCTGTAGATTTTTCTGGT